CATTAACCAGTCAATATTTATCGACTGTCTTCGGCTGATAGAATAGATTTGAGACCTTTGTATTCAGAGAAAAAAAAAAATACTGACTGTATTTGATAGTTTCAGAGTAAATGTATGATTAAGATTACAAAATATGATGCACATTATATTGTGTAAAGCTCCGGTGTATTCCCAGGCAAGATATGCATACACATTCATCATACACTGGGTGTAACGAATAAATAAATGTATTTTTTTGTACTAGAAAGTCAACTCCAAAGGTTTACTATAAGCATTTAGTGCCATGATGATTTATTTATAACAGAGTGTTATAGCATTCATGCATTTGTAGGACATGGAGAAGCAGCACGTTCTTACTGTATTGTATAAATCTTCTAATCCATATATCTCATCTTTGACAGATAAGATAGAAAAATACTGAAGAGGCTTAAGATTGCATGATAAATAGTTTAAAATGAAAGAATGCCAAGACCATGAGAGAGCTCTTAAACTGGTCTGCAAACGATACTGGGGCAGACCACAAAGCTCTCCCACCGGACCACCAGGGTCCTCTGACATACAACAGTCAGCCACTACACACTCTCAGACAAATACAGCTCTCATTCACCACACACAAACAACACTGAAACTGAGCCTAAAGCTCTAGAAGGTGGCCCAATCTAACACTCTGCCTAATGCCTAGAATAACCTTAATTCAGCTCCTCCACAGACACATACATACTTACTCACGTAGCTAGACACACATGTAAATTCGAGACACACTTACGGATACACGAACATAGATACAATCTGACAGCTAAACATGCACGCACAATGATACTCAATGCCACACACACACAGATAGCAATGCACATAGACACACACTGACAAACATACACACATGCAAAGACAAACATACTAACACCTATTTCCAGGTAACATAAAATGCCATATTGAATATGACACATGTACAAACACTGGCAGAGACACAAATAATATAAAATGTAATATTGAATTTTTTTTTGCAATCTTTGAAGCTTATTCTTTGACATAAATGTGAGTAATAATCGAAAAATTTAAAAAATTTCTTTTCACGTTCGAGAGTAGGCCAACAGATTTAAAATCCTGCAGGAAGAGAGGAAGCAGGGTTACAGTCTGAAAAAAAGCAGGTTGTTTGCGTATGCAGTAACTTTGCTGTCCATCCAAGGGCTCCAGATTCCGAATATGATCTGGTTGCTTGTGATAGCATTCTAAAATGTCTCCAGACGCAGAACAAATAATAATGGAGAAAGCAGACAGCCTTGTCTAGTGCTGTTTCCGATCTCAAAGGATTGCTATTAATGCAGACTTGTGCAGTGGGTCTAAAACGTGTGTTAAACATATGAAGTAAATGGGGAGCCAGTATATCAAAGAAGGTTTTGTAGTATTTAATTGTGAGTCCATCAGGAAATTGGCTTTTACAAAGGGAGATTTTGTGTTGTGCTTCCAATTGTGTGATTTGGGCAAGCAGAACAGAGATATCTTGGGTGCGTTGTCCTTTCTTACGAGAGCCATGTTTAATGAGGGGCTTCCCACATTATATCAGGAGAGGACAATGGTAAGGATAAGTTTGAAGGTTCAGTTGGATGAGGGGGCCAAATAAGACCACCGTTTTTGATGTGGAGTAGGGGACGTGATGGTGATGGTCACAGGGGCATGACCTGACCATGATGTGAGGCCATGTTATCAGAATGTAGGTTGTCTAGATACTGTGTTGATGCTATGTTGTAAGAAAAAATAATCTATGCTGAGTAAGAATTATGTGGAGAGGAGTAGAAGGTTTGGTCTTTATCATTTGCATGTAATACGCACCAGCAGTCAATCAACTGGAAGTCTTGGTGGAGAACGCACTTCCCTAAGAATGTGTCTGGGGAGGTGAGTATTGCCAGCCATTGTATCAATCTTAGGGTTAAATCCACTCATAGTATTAGGTAGCCTTCACTAATTGATTAAATACTACGTAATAAGCTAAGAAGGGTTATTATGTTATTATAAAGTTAAGTCTGGTTTATTGTCCCCATATGGAAAGGTACCTGCTCTCTGGGTCCGTCATCTCTGTGTCTACCTAAAAACGTACCTTAGCCGAGTAAAGGATCGCTATGCCCTTTGTTTTTACAATGTGATTATTAGCAAAGTACCCTGTAGGGTAGTGCTTATCTAAGGTAGAGTGGTAAATCTGTTTGGTCGGCAGCCATGGAAAAAAAAATATACGTATATATAGTTGTAATCAAAAATTATTTAGCCTCCATTGAAAATCAGGTTTATGGTCAAACTTTACAGATTTTCAGCTGTTTGCTATGAGCAAATCAAACAAAAGCAATTGAAATAGCTCAACTCAACGAATGCTTCAGATTACACTGAAAATGCAACTTTTAATGACTTGGGTAGGGTAGGGTGGCAAATCGCACGTACCAATCAATCCGGAGCCTGAATGTCCCTGGTGCAGTGATTTGTGGAAGAGCTTTAATCTGAAAATGAGGAGCACAGAGAGGAATGCGCCATTCGCTGTGAATCCTGCTGGGAGCTGAGGATCGCAGGCATTTTGAGGCAACTCTACATGGAAGAAAAAGGGGGGTGGGCCCCTTGGTTCTGAGCGTCGAGGGGGTCATCTGGGTCTTTCATGAGCGCCCAATGAACTACTGAAGTGTGCTAATTTTGACTTTTATGGGCAGTGATTCTTAGAGGGAAGGAATCAAGCGACCATTCTACACCAGGTCCCCCTAATATTGAAATTTAAAATTAAATCGGCACTGATCCACCTAAATCGAGACTGACCCACCTAAATCTGGTCAGACCCATGTAAATCAGGACTGTTGGGAAACCTGGCATAAATAATGCAACAAAATGTTTCTTATTCAGCTATTTTGTCCTGACATTTCCCATAATCCTCTAAGCCAGCGTTTCCCAATTTTGTTCCAATTGGAACAAAAGTGGGGTTTGGCCGCCATTTGCCCATCGGGTGATTCAAACACTTAGGGACACCCAATGGGTATTGCTGAACAGGATCCCAGTTTGGCTCCGCAGCCATTTAAGAGGGCAACCGGGCCCCGTGTAGTATCGAATGCTGGGAGGAAGAGAGAGCCTATCACTTTCTCCCAGACATAGAGCACACCATGCGGGACGGAGAGAGGCAAGAAGGGGGAGAGAGCTGCTGCTCCCCTCACATATAAACAGCCAGCAGCACTTCAAACAGGTCACCCTACTGCAGAAAAAAGTATGCTAATAGGAGGGTGGCTGCAACTATAAACATTATGACCTGTGTGTGAATCTGTGTGTCAAGGTGTGTAAAGTGTCACTGTGTGTATGTGAGTGTGTATCTGTGTGTCATGGTGTGTATATGTTTCAGTGTGTGTATCTGTGTGTGCATCTGTGTGTAAGTGCCATTGTGTCTGTCAGTGTGTGTATCTGTGTGTCAGTATGTATCTGTCAGTGTGTTTATCTGAGTGTGTTTATGTGCCAGTGTATGTATTTGTATATCAGTGTGTATCTGTGTGTGTATGTGCCAGTGTGTGTATCTGTGTGCATGCATGTGCCAGTGTGTGTATCTAAGTGTGTGTGTATATTTTTGCCAGTTTGTGTGTATGTGCCAAGGTTTGTATTTGTGACAGTGTGTGTATCTGTGTGTCAGTGAATCTAACAGTGTGTATATTTGAGTGTATGTGCCAAGGTGTGTACCTGTGTGTGTGTATGTATGTGAGTGTGTGTATGTGCCAGTGTGTGTATTCACGTGTGTATATCTGTGTTTCAAGGTGTGTATCTGTTTGTATCTGCCAGTGTGTGTATCTCTGTGTCCAGGTGTGTTTATCTGTATGTATCTGTCAGCGTGTGTACGTGTCAGTGTGTTTCTATGTATGTTTTTGTTTGTTAATGTGTATGTATATCTGTGTAAGTATGTATGTGTAAGTGTATGTGCAGACATCCCAGCAATCAAACACCAAAACAACATTCAAACACACTCCTGCAAACACAAACATGACATTCAAAGACACCCCTGAACTCTTCACTCAAACACCAGTACTCCAACACTACATTCAAACACATCACTGGACGCAAATAAACACAAACACATCCGTGTATTAAAATACTAAAATGATTTACAAACACCAAGTCTACACACAGACGCACACGTTCTCCTAAGTACTACAAATCTATTTACAAACTGTAGATATTAGTGTATACACACCCCAAAAAACAAAATTTGCCAAAAAAGCATCATGCACCGCTAATTAACTTACGCTCTGCTAATTAAATGATGCCCCACTAATGAACACGCACCTGCTAATTAAATCACACCCCGCTAATTAACTCACACCCCGCTAATTAAATCCCTCTCCACTAATTAAATCACACCCCGCTAATTAACTCACGCTCCGTTAATTAAATAAAGCTCCGCTAATGAACTCACACTCCGCTTATTAAATCCCACTCCGCTAATTAAATCACACCCCGCTAATTAACTCCCACTCCGCTAATTAAATGACACCCCGCTAATTAAATGACACCCCGCTAATGAACTCACACCCCGCTAATTAAATCCCGCTCCACTAATTAAAGCACACCCCGCTAATTAAATCCCGCTCTGCTAATTAACTCGCGCTCCGCTAATTAAGTCATGCTCCGCTAATGATTATTATGTTATTATTTATAGTAAAAGGTTTGTGCTGTGGCACACACTTCTTTTGGGGGTGCCACAATGTTGGTACACTATGTCAAAGGGTTCCTGGGGTGAAATGAATTGGGAACCCCAGCTCCAGTCAGTTCTCCCCAATTTCCAGCTTAGTGAATATCCCCTCCTCCTCCCCCCATCTAACCCCATTAATGTGACGTCATCAGGCAGAGTGGCAGCTGAACCCCGCCCACTTCTTCAGCCAGGCAGCACGCGCCCCCCTCTCCCCTCAGGGTCACGCCCCCTACGCGAAAACGCGCGCGAACCTTGCGCGGGGCTGGCGCGCGTTGCCGTGGCGACGCGCGAGCGAGAGAGGGAGGGAGGGGGTGAGGAGGAGGAGGAGGAGGAGCGGGCTGTGTGCGTGCTGACGCCGCCTGGTTCTATATGAGCGCGAGCGGCGGGCTCTCTGCTCCCTCTTCTCATTTTGCCGCCATCCCTGAAGGGGCGCTTCCCTCCTGTCTCCCGGCACTGCGCGGCGGCGGCGGATCCCTGTCTGCTCGGTGTCCCCGGTAAGAGCGAGCGCTGGCTGGCTGGCTGGCGGGAGGGAGCGGGGCCGTGTGTGGTGACCGGCTGGCGGGGGCTGTCATGCTGGCTGCCGGGGGCTGACAGGCGGCCCTGCCCTCCGTATCCGCGGGGCCCCTCCATGGCCGGTGACGGCGGGCATCCAGTGACAGGCCGCACGCAGCCCATCGGGGGGGGGGGGCTGCCATCATCCTGCCGGCGGGGGGGTCCCGGTGTGTGTGTGGGGGAGGGGGTCCGTTTTGCCGGTGTGGTGGGGGTGGGGGGGTGCGGTGCTCTCCTCCAGGCTGTCTCTGGTTAACCCTTTCAGTGCCAGGGCTGTGCCCGGCGCCTCCCGGCCTTCTCTGGCACTCTCAGGGTTAACTGTATTAATACCCAATGTGGGAGTCCCCCCCCCCCCACCGGGGGCTAACGGTTTAACCCTTTAATCGCCGGCTGGCTCAGCTCATGGCGAGGTGGTGATGGTGTTAACCCCCGCCGTGCCGGTGCAGTGCTGGTTAAAGGTCTGCCTGCGGTGAGCTGCGTGTGTGGGGCCCCCATCCTGTCCCCGGCTCAGGGAGCAGCACCACGTGCTGACACACAGGGTGGATTGGGGGATCATTAACCACATCCAGCACATGCTGCTACTGAATCACCGCTAGGCTGGCTGGCTGGCCGGTAACAGGAGTCTGCCTCCACACACCAACCTGGGGGACGTGACTGTGTGTCCAGGCCCTGCAGGAAGGCAATGGAGACATAGTATTGGGGGCTGACTCTAGGGTTAATAATCACCAAATTAAACTATAATAATAATAGGAAAGTGACCCTGGGTTCAGGCTGTCACCCATCAATGCTGGGATCCAACCCATGGAGCACATGGCCACCATGAGTGCGGTCACTAATACTGCTCCTTGTCTGGATCAATACTCAACGTTTTATTTATTATTGTATTGGGATTTAAGTTAAGGACTGATTTCTTTGAATTTGCCGCATTTAACTCTTGTGGTGAGAAAATAAAACTTGTATCTCTTAACCCCTTAAGGACCAAACTTCTGGAATAAAAGGGAATCATGTCATGTGTCCTTAAGGGGTTAAAGAGCAGAGAAGCTTGGATTGGTAATTGTTTCTTCACGAAGTGAAAATATATATAGATATTGTATGCCCCACTCCATACTTAAACTTCAATATTGTATCCCTGAAACAGCCAACTCTGGATCTGACAACATCAATCATGTTAATCTCAAACTAGCACTGTTGTTTTATCTCTTCAGTTTCAGTAAATTATCAAAGCTTTTATATTATGTTTTATCTACCCATCTCATGAAGCAGTACATCTTATAAATCTGTACACTGAAATATATATTTTTTAAACTGTAAATAATTTTAATGTTAAAACCTAGTGGCTTGTTTTTAAAGTTGGACTCTAGCTCCATAGAAGATGCTTCCAGATCAGAACTGCTCAACACACATCTGAAGGCCTGGTGGCTAAAAGCTGTCTATCCATTACTTGAACATATGGATACTAGTGGATATGAACCACCCTGGAACAGTCCATTGGGTTGAAGTCAAGCACTGCTTGAGTAGACTGGCACTTATCACTCTGTGCTCACCCAAGCCTTCTTTTGACTAATCTTAAGTAATTGTCGTAATGGAAAACTTCCACATTTTTTTCACCCCTCAAACTTAAGTTCACCACTGTAGTGGTTATGGTGCCAGTAGTGCCCTGACCTGTCCCATGGTAAGGCCCTGCTTACATTTTTCTCCTTCAGGAGAACTTTTAACTCTAAAGAATGAAGCAGAGAAATTCAGGGTGTATGCACTCAGAGGGTCTGCTGATCTTTCTCAGCAATTGTGCATAGACCTGTTTGGTTCTGTAGTTACTAAGATTCCACTTTAAAGGGTAACTTTAAGCACCATGACTACTAAAGTGATTCGTAGTGGTCATGGTGCCTAAAGTTTCTGTTTAGCGCTTCCTTTTGAGACTCTCTACTGCCACATGTGTAACTCCACCTCCGGCAGAGTGGTTGAACGTTATCTGCCTGGAACAAAAGTTCTAGGCCGACTAATATAATTTTTGTGCATATTGTTATGCACATAATTGCATTAATTGACAGTGACCAGCTTACTCGCTCTGTGATTAAGTGAGGTTTTCCCTGTTTTAGGATGCATCCCTGAGCAGGGCAAACCAGACAGGAGGCGGAGTAAAGGATGGCCTGTAGGTTGGTGTTGCCTGGAGAGTAACACCCATGAAGCTTGATAATGGTGTAGCTGGAACGGGAGTCTTGTGTTACATTATGTGTATATTCAATGTAAAATACAGAAATTATCTTAGATTATAGTGTTGTACTCTATATGGGAGCGATTTCAAGTTAGTCGATTTTTCTTTCTCACAACAGGTTTACTTTAAATGTGTTCACTGTGTATTGATGGATTTACAGAAGAGCAGTGTGATTTAAAAGATCTTTTTATGAACTTTGTAGACTTTTAAGTTATCAAAACTTGCTATTATTCGTGGCATGTCTCTCAGCAATGGCCACTCTCTGTGGCCAGCAATGGCCACTCTCTGTGGCCAGCAATGGCCACTCTCTGTGGCCAGCAATGGCCACTCTCTGTGGCCAGCAATGGCCACTCTCTGTGGCCAGCAATGGCCACTCTCTGTGGCCAGCAATGGCCACTCTGTGGCCAGCAATGGCCACTCTCTGTGGCCAGCAATGGCCACTCTCTGTGGCCAGCAATGGCCACTCTCTGTGGCCAGCAATGGCCACTCTCTGTGGCCAGCAATGGCCACTCTCTGTGGCCAGCAATGGCCACTCTCTGTGGCCAGCAATGGCCACTCTCATGTAGTGGTTTTTTTTTTTTTTTTAGCAATTAACTCTTCTGTCTACAAGAAAATTGGTATGTGTAAGCTTTTCATCCTAGTACAACTCTTTCCAAAGAGATGCCTGGGCAGTTTGGCTTTAATGAGAAACATCTATGTCTAGGATACTCTTCAAACAGGGGAAATGGAGTGGTGTGGCTGGTGAAAAACACGGTTTACTATGGCTTTTTAGGAAAAAGGTCCATGTGACTAGATTTTCTTTATGCAAAGAAAAGTACTCTACACCACCGTTCCAGAAATGTCAAAGGTTGCTTGGAGTTGAAGTTGCTTGGATCCAGCAGCAACTTTAGCCATATTTTAAGCAGATTTTGTATTAAAGTAAAACTTAAGAAATACAAAATGAATAGTATAAAGGGGACATACTTAAAGGACCACTATAGTGCCCTGAGGGTGCCCCCACCCTCAGGGTCCCCCTCCCGCCCGGCTCTGGAAGGGGGAAAGGGGTTAAACTTACCTTTTTCCAGCGCTGGGCAGAGAGCTCTCCTCCTCCGTTCCGCCCCGCCGGCTGAATGCACACACTCGGCAAGTTTCTCTGAAACTGCTATGTTTATTAAAAAATGGGTTAACCCTAGCTGGACCAGGCACCCAGACCACTTCATTAAGCTGAAGTGGTCTGGGTTCCTAGAGTGGTCCTTTAACTTTTTTTTAATTTAAAAAGTTATAGAATCTATATAGGGGTGCCCAACTGTTTCAATTTATGCTTCAAAATATAATTTTGCAAACTAGCACATGATGTCCTAACTTCTATTTTGTGTTAGTGAAAAATGTGTTCCTTTCAATTTCCTTCAAGGAAAATATGCATTTATTTGCAATGTTTTCTATTTATGAAGCAAAAATTCACATGTAGTCTGAAACGTTATAGATGCTGTGTGCATATTCTGCTTCGCAAGCTGCTCAAATTTCTCATGCCAATTCCTCACTTTAGACTTTCATGGCCTGAAACTAGCATTGCTAGTGCTTGGCTTACACCATTTTCCTCAGAAGATGGGTCTCTCATATATAAACTTTTACACTGAAATTTGTGATCTTACATTTAGCTTCCTTTAATTTTTACTAAAGTGCCACTCTGTTGGGGAAACTGAAGATTGTGTATTATTGCTATCTGGACACTGTTTAACGCTCACCCCTCCAAAAAAAACCAAAACAAGCTATTGGCATACAGTATTCCTTCCTCTTCTGCAGTTCGACATAAAGTTGTGAAGATGTGCTGTGCCATGGCATGGTATATTGCAGAACGCAAACGCTTTTATAAGATTGGACAAGGCTTTGAATAGACTTATGGTTGAACAAATATCAGTCAAAACGATAACACTCCTCTTGTGTGCTGAATGGAGTAGGGGTGAAACACCTTTCCTCAAACTGAAGTAGCAATGATGCATGCACTGTTAACTTTTAAGTCTCCTTTTCAGACCAGGGGACTATATATATTAAATTTACTTTGAGCAGCCGTTAACTAGGTCAAACCTCATGTTGGTGGTAGAAGCTTTCAGTAACATAACTACTACATTTTGTGATACTGATATTTAAACTGCATCCTCCACTCCCATTCTTTGCATGTCAAATTCCTCTTCAGCTGGGGGCTTGTGAGCCTTTATTGTTTAAACCAGGTTTTCTTTGCTTTTGTCAAACTATAACTCTGGCTTGGTTTACATGGTGAATCTATTGCTTCAGCATTTTGGTGGTATATATTTATAGTGTAATTACTACCAAATGTGTTTAGTACCAAAATATTTCTTCCACCTGTTTTCACTTAATTCCATAAGGTAATTGTGCAGAGAGATTTAATAAGATGTGGCTATCTGTTTATAAAGTGATGGATTGTGCAAAGAATGATGTAAAGAGGATAGAACCTTCTGTAACTTTTTTTTTTCTCTCTCCTCTGTTAAGGTGTTTAGAAAAATCCTAAAATGGCAAACATAGACAAGTAAGTATTGGGAAATGCAGATTGATTTCAATATCTTTCAAAGCCTGTTGTGTAGCTTCACTTGGTGGTAATTGCTTCACTATACTGTAGCATAAACTCATTTATCAATACTGCCACCATAATTTCAAAGCCTTGAATGGGTAATGTAAAGTATTTCCAACTCCTAGTAACTTTCCTAAATACTTCAGTTTTGCCAATGGTAGTGCATGTCCTAACTAACCACTTATACACAGTGGATAAAAGTATTGGGACATATGACCATTACACCAACAGGGACTTTTGTCATCACATTCTAAATAAATTATGATTTGTAGCTGATATCCATTTGCAACTACAACAGCTTCCCCTCTTCTGGGAAGGCTTTTCATTATAATTTGGAGTTTCTATGGGAAAATATTTGTCCCTTCATCCAGTAGAGCATTTATGAAGTCTGGCACTGATGTTAAACAAAATGGCCTGGCTTGCAAGCTCAGTTTCAGTTCATCCCAAAGGTGGTTGAGGTCAGGGCTCTGTGCAGGGTTCTTCCCCCACCAAACTCTTCCAACCATGTCTTTATGGCCTTTGCTTTTTCAGTTGTCATAGTTATGCTAAAATATAAAAAGGCAGTCCCCAGAATGTTCCCACAATGTTTGAAGCCTAGCATTATCCAAAATGTCTTGGTATGCAGCAGTTTTAAGATTTCCCATCACTGGAAGTAAGGGGCATAGCAGAACCCATGAAAACAGTCCCATACACTATCCATACTCCACCAAACTTTATAGTTGGCACAGAGCAGTTGGGTAGGTAATGTTTTCTTGACATCCGCTAAACCCAGACTCTCTCCTCGTGCTGCCCAATGGTGATGCATGATTTGTCACTCTGTCTCTATAGATGTATAGAATTTGAAATGGGCACTCCTTGAATCTTTATTTTCAACTTCCCCCATTTTACTGTGCTACACCTCAGAATATTACTAGGGAGCCTAAAATTTCCTTTAAAACTTCTCCCCTACAGTAAAGAGCAGGCTGAACTGGACCTACAAGACATGGAAGATGTTGAAGAAGTAGAAGAAGAAGAATCTGGGGAGGATGCAAACAGTAAAGGTATTGGTCCTAAACTGTAGACTCCTAGCATGAACATTCATGACATGCTTGGCACAATCTCCAACTTACTATGGGAGGGAGTGTGCCCCGGAACTATGCTTGGTAGTAAAACATTCTTGTGGAATGTTTCTACTTGCTGCTCTCTTAAGAACCTTTATCACAAACTTGTTTCATAGAGTTAATTAAGACCAGTTGGTGTTATTGAAACATATTCTACTAGGTGAGTTCTAACTTAGTAGAAATTGTCTGGCACAGAACGGTTTTGTCATTAAAGGAACTCTGTTAAATATATTTTTACTATTTTGTGTTCCTTTATTGTATTACTATAAAACATGTAATCCAGCACCAGGACAGTTTCCCCCCCAGCTGTTAAGCCTCTTGTGAGTTCTGACTATCTCTGTCCAATCCAAAGCTTCTCATTATTTATTCAGCATACAGGCCTAGGTCTAGGAATCTGCAAAGTTAGAATCATTCTTTTGCCAAAGGATAAGGTTTGGTAACTCTAAACAGGTTTGTATCTACAGCTGTTTTAACACCAACATGTACATGCCATAAATCCATGAGAAGTATTTTACCCTGACCAGCAGTTATAGCTGCAGGTAGGCACTAGGTTATATCTGGATTAATTCTTCAATCCAGTGCTCTAGCATGTGTTCAATTTTTGTTGATGGACTTTTGCCTCTGCATCCATTGCCATTGTTGTGCTGGGTGAAGTGACAACGGTTTGTTCTCTGGTGTTTCATCAGAATTGGCATATAAAGTGACACTCAAAATCTTAAAGCATGCATTTTTTTTTTTTGTTATTGTATGAAATCACTATGATAGGCTGTACAGCAGTCTTGTGGCTAGCCTAACTCTTGCAATTAACTGGTTGTATGGTAATTTGAATCTAATGTTTATATAATTTTTTTTTTTTCAGCTAGGCAATTGACTGCACAAATGATGCAGAATCCACAAATTTTAGCTGCTCTTCAAGAAAGGTTAGATGACCTCGTTGGTACACCAACTGGCTACATTGAAAGGTAATGTTCAACAAATTATGTACTTGGCAAAATTTTTAATGGATGCGCAGTGCAAAATACCTATTCACTAGATCTCTTGCTACATAATCAGGCAGTTTTTCCTAGGGTATTTGTTGCAACTCAGCTGCTGGTTTAACTTCAGATGCGAAAATCAATCACATTGTTTTGGTATTTTAACACCCCAGCTTTTTTTGAATATTAAAGGGACACTATAGTCACCAGAACTACTGTTTATTGTATTTGTTCTAGTGAGTAGAATCATTACCTTCAGGCCTTTTGCTGTAAACACTGTCTTTTCATGTAATGTTTACATTACAGCCTAGTGATAACTTTACTGGCCACTCCTTAGATGGTTGTTAGAGATCCTTCCTGGGTCGTGACTGCCCAAAATGCATCCAAACCTTCAGTATCTCCTCCCTCTGCATGCAGACACTGAACTTTCCTCACAGATTAATTGATTCAATTCATCTCTGAGGAGATGCTGATTTGGCCATGGCTGTGTTTGAATTATGCTGGCTCTGCCCCTGATCTACATCTGTCAGTCTCCGCCAATACTATGGGGAAGCATTGTGTTTGGGTAAGGCTACCACTTCTGCTGATGTCAGTGGGCAGGCCTAAAAGAAACAGGGACAAAACATGCAGCTGCAGACTTGAATACATGTAAGATTTTACTATTTTAGAGGGAGGCATGAGGGAGCTGGTGTGTTCCTGACCCTATAGTGCTCCTTTAATGTCAAGACTGTTACAGAATGGAACTGCAACAACAGTTTTAGTAACTTTACCCCATGTACTCAAACCTGCAATTTCCTTTTGAGTGCCTGTAGCTTGGCACCTAACCAAAATGGCTATATAGAACATTCTTTATCTTAGTAGTTTTATTTATTTTTTTCTGTCCTGTCAGATGAGTGCCTACTATACTAGTTAATAACTTAACTGTTTTTTAATTTTTTTTTTTACTCTGCAGCTTGCCTAAAGTCGTTAAGAAACGTGTGAATGCTCTTAAAAATCTGCAAGTTAAGTGTGCCCAAATTGAAGCTAAATTCTATGAAGAAGTGCATGAACTGGAGAGGAAGTATGCTGCTTTATATCAGCCACTTTTTGACAAAGTGAGTATTGGGATCCTTTGATTTAGGCTTGTATGTTTTTTCTGTTTATTTTTGGTTTGACTACTTTTGCTTTGTTCCCTTTCCTAGAGAAGTGATATCATAAATGCCACATATGAACCCACAGAGGAAGAATGTGAGTGGAAAGTAGACGAAGAGGAGGAGATTTCGGTGAGTAGAATAGTAAGCTATTAAACCTATGCTTTTATGATCTTCCTCCTTAATTGTCTGAATAACATTCTTGTGATGGTGTTGGCCAGTTAGAACTAAATTTTGTATTGTATGCAAGCAATCTTAATAAAAAAAAAATGTAAATTGTGTAACAGTCTTGTTAATAAAGGAACACTATATAGGTTTTTGGAATAAAAACCTATTTTGGCAGCAAAACCGCCTTTTCTCCATAGGTGTAGCATTCGGAGGGTAATGCCCATGCTTGGCAAATGGGCATGCTGCCCAGAACCAGTCCATTAAGCTGTAAGGTTTCTTGTGACTATAGTGTTCCTTTTTAAGTGCATCTGTTGAATGCTTTTGGAATGTTTAGTATGATTTGAACAGTGTTCTGGTTTTCATCAAGGAGGATATGAAAGAGAAGGCAAAACTTGAAGAGGAAAAGAAAGATGAAGAAAAAGAGGACCCAAAAGGAATCCCAGAGTTCTGGCTGACAGTCTTCAAAAACGTTGATCTCTTAAGTGATATGGTTCAGGTATGTTTCTCTTAGTAGCAGAACCATCTTTCCACAAGTTTCCTTGCTTTCTGTAGTGTTTCTTATCCTGGGAATGGAAGGATCTCAGATCAAATCTAGATCACTGACTAGTTTATATGGTACCTGGAAACTTCATGTGAACACATGCCTTCACTCTTGGGCAGCTGCATTGGTTGTAATCTGTCCAGTGACTAAAAATGTAAAGTAAAGGTGTCACATCAGTGTTATCTTTTGTGTGGGAAGTTGGGATGTGCATTTTTTTCACCATGTAGCTTTTAACCAAAATCTCACAATGGCTAGGAATCTGAGATGTTCATAGGAAAAAGCTGCATGATCTGGTCAGTGTTAATTTTCAAATGCCAGCCATATTGTAGTAAAACTGTTAGACCTGAACAAACTCTATTTTGGACCCAGGGAAATAACACTAATGTTTTTGGTCATAGGAACATGACGAGCCAATTCTGAAACATTTGAAAGACATAAAAGTAAAGTTTTCAGAAGCTGGTCAGCCAATGGTAAGTTTGAAACACCCTTTCCTTTTAAATGATGACCATAAAGTATTTGGTTTTGTTGTGCCTAACATTAACTTGCTTTTGGCATCCTTGTTAATTAAATGGTTCTTAATGTCTGAGTTGGGATGCCAAATTTGGGAGCCAGGCTAACTTAGTAGGTCACTGACTGGAACAGGCATAACCTTAACCTGGTCACACGCAACAGTCCCCAGTTAAAAGTCTACTGTAAAGATTTTACCTTCCCCTGGCAATGGACAAACCAGTCGTGTGAAGGTTCTCTGTAGAATAAATTGTTCTATATTACATCTAATGTGTGCTGAAAATATTCCTACTTGGTGTCAATCTAATTCACCTGAACCCCTCTCAAAATTGTGGTTTGACCTATCAAGGAACGTCTGAGAATCCTTTAAACTTTTATCACTGGATGTAATTCCAGAATGTCACTTTAATAGGGTTGTGTGATAGCTGTAATTTCAGTTTAGTCTCTTCCCTGTTTTCACTCACTCACTGCCCAAACTTGTAGGAAAAGTACATTATTATAAAATATTCTGCTTGGTTATTGTATTAACAGACTTCCCCCTTTTTATTTTTCTGCTTTAGAGTTTCACACTAGAATTTTACTTTGAGTCCAATGACTTCTTTACAAATGAAGTGCTGACCAAAACTTATAAAATGAGGTCAGAGCCTGATGAGTCGGATCCCTTCTCATTTGATGGGCCAGAAATTATGGGATGTACAGGGTAAGTTTTTGGTGTATACACTTTTGCATTGTTTCCAGTGTACTTGCTGTACTCTAAAAGGTGACTTTATCAACGTGATACCACACTTAAAATAGAAACCCCCCAACTGTCTTTCTTGCAAATACAAAGTTACTGAGCCAGATCAAAGTTAAGCAGACTTGAAATGTGGCTTACATTGTTTTGTATTTGCCCTTGGTCTGAAAACCTCCCATCTGTACAAATATTCAAGGCCTGTAAATATCTTAAAGTAATCAGTATCCTATTCAATTTCTTATAATCTTAGCAGTGTATTGTTTGCTGGGCTATTCTGCTCCATACGTAACATCTCAGTGCTTTAATGTCAAACTGCAGTCTTTTTTGACCATATCTGACAGACATCTAACAGATTGGCAGTTTAATGCACCTTGGTAATATCTGCTTTATCCTGAAATATTAACTATTTTATCTAAAACCTGTTTCTTGGTGTTTTAGTACTTTTTTTTTTTTAATCTAAAAAGAAAATTTTAAATAAAAGCTTTATGCAGCTCCTGTAAGTCATCCTGTCCTGTGTAGGCTTTCCTGCCAGGGTAGTGCTTTGTCCAGTCAGGCTTCTCTTTGAGTGTCTTTAATGTGTGCACTTGGTCAGTGTTAAAGACACATAGCCACCAGAGCAGCTTAATATAGCGGATCTGGTGTCTACATTATGCTTGCTTGACAGGCTATTAACAGCTTTTTCCAAAAAAACTGTTTACCTTTCTGCCTAAGAATGACTCTACTGGCTGTCAAGGATTGGCTGTGACCATAGAGATGTTTTCATGGAGGCAGAGCCAGATGGGGTAGCAGTGATACCAGTGCAGTGCGAGAGAAAAAAGGAGTCAAATCACATTTTCAAAGCAATTTTTAAGAGAGGGAATGCTGATTAACTAATAGTTTAAAACTATAGTGTCAGGAATGTTTGTATTCTTGACACTATATAGTGCTTGAGTTAATACATATGAAATCCAAAGAACAAATTTTGCATAAGTGTAAATCACCACCAAATAGGTGCAGGTCCTGTTTTGTACAGTAGAAGCTGACGTGGCCATGCCTAAACTTTTAAACGCAATCTTACAGGTGCCAAATTGACTGGAAGAAGGGAAAGAATGTCACTTTAAAAACCATAAAGAAGAAACAAAAGCATAAGGGTCGTGGTACAGTAAGGACTGTTACAAAAACTGTTCCAAATGACTCATTCTTCAACTTCTTCAGCCCACCTGAAGGTAAATTGACCTTTTTAGTCAGAAAATTACCTTTTATTGTTACGCTGTTATTATATTGCATTTACACTTGTTTTTTATGACTTATATTAACTTTGTACCTTATGCTGGCTAGCAAGCCTAATTTTGTTGACTTTCATGACTCAAACAAGATTTTACAAAAATAAAATCACCTTTTCTACTGTGCTATCCTATGTCCAAGCACTTTTCAACTAACCTGCAGTATTGACAAATCTTTATTCAGAACTTAATGGGGTGTCAATTTAGCCCAGGAAATTTTAAACTGGTTCAGAGAGACTCTAGTATTGGACACATTTCTTTTGTAAAGGTCAAGTGACTGCTTTCTTATATTTGCCAACCAGAATCCACCCTGTGTATCTTTATTTTTAAATTCTATGGAAGCCATGGTGCATGTCTGTGTACTGATTCTTCTATTGAATTTGAAATTTGGTAAATAAGTCCAAAACCTGGTAATCTAAACGCCTAATTTGATAACGTAGCAAGTGCAAATACATAGTTGACTGACATTCTTGTATGTATAGTTCTCTCAAGTCTTACTGGATCATTCCAGTTTTCTTTCCTCCACCTTTGGTGAATCGTGAAAGTGCTGTGCTCCTTTATCCAGCTAAGTTTAAGTATTTAGTAGATATAGCCAAGTAATGTCTGCTTTGGGAATATATGGGAGCTTGCAAAAGTGGCAGACCTGCTTTTGCAAGTCTGCACTTTCTCCATTCCTTGAAATGCTTTCAGTCTCTACCAGGGAATTCACTAATCTGACTTCTCATGTTTAGTGTAAATGTGAAAGTCTGGCTAGACATGTGGTTTTGTGAAGCCAGACAGCTTGCTTAGGCTAGTTTGTGTTCCTCCCTAATGGCACCTTGGCTTTGTTTACTTCTGCTTAGATAATGTAAGGCCTGCCAGTTACAGGCCAATAATAAAAAAATCTGTTCAATCTTTTGAAGGAACTGACTTTTTTTTTTTTTTTTCCCTCAATCTGTAGTACCTGAAAATGGAGAGCTGGTAAGTTGTATGGGTGTCTTTATTTGTGGTTTTCAATAGATTAGAACTTTTATTTGCTCCTCAATATATTGCCATTAGGACACTACTAGATTAAAAAGCTATAGACTCTAGAAAATGGCATGACCTGTATTACAAGGCCAAGATTATGCCATCAAAGCTCAGATTTTTAACTCTGCAAACACTTATTTAGAATTGTATTGTTTTGCCTGTTGTAGTGTTGGGATGTATAAATGTAGTTATGAAACTGTTCTGGACTATTTCGTATTCTGCCACCACTGTTGGGGTATGAGATCTATTTTGAGTACCTAATATAGTTTAGTTTTGTAAACCTGTGCATTAAGATTAGAGGGCACTGTCAGTAATTTCTCCCTTTTAACATTGTGGGTTTTGTTGCACTTAGACACGAGTTAAGGTGTTTGCACAATATTGCATAGAGCATTTTTTGCTGTTAAGCACTTTTTAATTACATACTGCACATAAGTCACGCTTTAAAGTCACAGCGCACTTTAATTTTAAACCTGTGCATTGCCAGAATATTCTGAATGTATTTTATTGCAATTATCTGTCACATATGTTAACTTCACATTCTGTTGGTGTCAAACTGTTATAAAAGTATATTAAACACCTGTGTTCTAATGTTATGCAGGATGATGATTCCGAAGCCATTCTCACTGCAGACTTTGAAATTGGACATTTCTTACGTGAGCGAATAATTCCCCGATCTGTACTGTATTTTACTGGTGAAGCTATTGAAGATGACGATGATGATGTAAGTGGGTTCTTTGCAAAACTCTGCCTGCTACTTCAGGCTAGCCTCTCATGGGATTGGTCAACTGATACAACCTGTTAATTTGTGTGGTTGCAGTAGACTTTATAATGCACTAATATTGTGGTGAGGTACAACTGGGCTGCTCTGACTTAAGGTACTCCCTGCATCTAGATTACTTTTTAAGTGTTTGGTAGCTGAAGCACAATGTACTCTAAAGTCTACAGGCAACGATTCCAAAAGACAATTACTGACTTTTTTTTTTTCTTTTTCACCCTACAGTATGATGAAGAAGGGGAAGAAGCTGACGATGAGGTAACCCCTTACCTGATTTTCCTTCCAAAACAAACTTAAAACACTGATCTTTGAAAAGGGATACAAGCCCCTACAATCTGTCTTTCAAAAGTACCTCTGACACTTGACTTATCAGGACATGCCTCTAAAGGTGTCAATTGCTGTGATTCACTTAAAGGACTCTCCTAGTTTTAACCCTGCAGCTGAAAACATAGCGGTTTCATAGAAACTGATGTTTACACTGCAGGGTTAATCCAACCTCTAGTGGCTGTCTCCTTGATTTTTAGTGAGTAGCATTGAAATGACGCTGTATGTCTAAACTGAGTCCAGTGTCAAATAAGATCCCCCATAGGAAAGCCATATCACTTTACTATGGGCTGGTTTGAATGTGCATGCGCATTTGGGTCCTCTCGGAGTGGACTTCGACAGGGGGAGGAGAGGTCACAGTGTATTAAGGTAGATGGCTGAAGTTTTAACCCTTTAAGCCTGGGGTGGGAGGAACCGTTTAACCCTATAGTGCCAGGAAAACTAGTTTGTTTTCCTGGCACTATGATCCCTTTAACACTTCTGTAGTTAATATCAAATTGCAAACTTACTATGTGAGTGAAGTCAGGTGCCACACTATAGTTGAAAGACTCTAGGTATTTTTGTCCATACCATTGAGTAATAAGTCAATGGACTTCAATTTCTTTAGTTGCTCTCTTGCATGTGTGGACGCTCTCGCATGTCCTATAGTTATCCTGTTTTTGACTCTTGAGTATACCCCATGGAAGTCATGTTATGTGTTCATATTGTAGTAAGGGCAGCAAATGTGCACTTGTGTTAAAGTCAGAAGCAAGTGTTATTAAAAAATTTGTCGCCACTGCACAATTTATTGCCCTTGTTTGTCTGGACACTAGGCTAAATAATGTTAACCAAAATGTAGGTTTCTACCACTACATTAATAAAGCTAGCTTACAGGAATATAGTCTAGAAGATAAAAAATAAAAAGGGTGTGCCTGTGAAGAATAAAATTTATAAGTAGAATAAAATTTATAAAATAGCTTAAAGTCCAGGTAACTTAACACTAGTCCAAGTAAGGTAATCCAAAACAGTAGGGAAGGTTCTTTGTGGAGCAGCAGACTGAATTGATAGTGGTGTCACAGAATAAAGCATGAAATCCAGTAGGACATGTGAAGAAACAGAAAAGGGAACGCCAATGGTACATAAATACACTGGGTAACAGAAGGTATATAAATGAGATACTACTCACAATATCCCGAGCTAAAATCCAGCTCTGGTTTGGAAAGCGTGGAGTGGAATAATCCTCACTCAAGGATATACGTGGTTCTTCAAGCTTCCAATCTTGTGTAGCAACAGAGTAGTCCAACTCAGAAAAATAAAAGGTGATATAATATAGTGCTCACTGTATCTTTAAGTGTCAAGGTAAAATATGTGTACTTACAACTTGCCAGGCAGACTCTCTGCTTGGTGTATAGCATATGGGTGGTATAATCCCCACCTAAAGGCTTCTTTGTACTTCTTGGAAGCGGCAAAAATGGCAAATGTGGTATACAGCCAAAAAAAGCCTTTATTAGTCAATTAAAGTTTCTAAACGTGTTTTGCCTACACAGGCTTAAAGTAGAAACTAACATACAGTAAAATCATGGACCTGACAAGCGTGTATATTTATGTGTATGTATATATATTCTCCTTGATTACAATGAGGTTTTTGAAATTGCTGTCAAAAAGACACCATCAAAATCAGAGTGAAAAGATACACAATCGAAATATAATACACATTGAGATTAAAACAGAGCTGTTCTGTATTTTTCTTGCAAATTACATTTGTATTGGTCCGAGAGGGGACCCCTCTTATAGATGTGTAATATCTTGTGGTGTTAGCGCAGATCCTTATTTGACTTTTCAATAGTCTCTAGGTTGGTGTGTACTCTTGAAACTGTAAGCAAAGAGTCATTCTGGCTTCCTTTCACACCCTAGCCACTTTAATTTCTGATTATGAATGTTTCATCTCAATGGAAATGTCAAAGCTGGGATAGACCTGAGGACAGACCTTAATTTTTTTTTTTATATAAATAAAAATTTAATGGATACAAAATAACCTTAAATGGATTTATTTGCAGGATGCTGAAGAGGAGGCAGATGAAGAAAATGACCCAGATTATGAGCCCAAGGTGAGTCAAAGTAGACCGTGTGGTGGATCTTCACTCTAAACAAAACTCGCAGCATTTGTCTGCTAATGTGATAATGCACACTTTAAATTAAATCCCTGCATCTTAACTCCACTTTCCAAATGCATGCTATGTTTCTAAGATCATGTGGAAACTCTTAGTGTACATCTTTGACATTTTTCCCACTAGGTTTAAATGGTGTCTGTAGAGTTCTTGTCTTGGGTATGTAGCTTTTGCCATGTAGTATAACTTAATACACTAATGGCCTTTGTGTTTATGCTTCACACTGCACTAATAGTCTGGTAAACTGCATGTTATGCACAACTCTCTAAAAAGTCACGTGTGTTTTTATTAGAGACTGAAAACTTGAGAGCTTTGGAAACCTTATTTTCTTTCCTTCAATTTTAGATTGCTCGGGTGAGATTTGGATGTAAGGCTTTCACAAGAGCATTCTTTATGGTTTGACTTAAGTTAGAACACTTTATAAAAATTTTTTTTGCCATTTTAGAAACCAGTGTTCTTGTTCACTTAAGTGTTTGTGGTTCTTAACTCCTACTTCAGATTTTGAGTGAAATGTGATTCATTTACCACTTGTAGTAAGGCTAACTGGTCCAATGTGGTGTGTGCAATTAAATGGATTAATTTAGTAATTGTTTTTTGTTTTGTTTTCTTACAGAAAGATCAAAACCCAGCTGAGTGCAAGCAACAATGAAGCAATGTGTATGTGGCCTTGTTATTACCTGCACTGTAATAAATTAAACTCAACTGTTAGTTACTTACAGCCTTATGTTTTGTATCTTCTTGGTAGAAAGTTAACAATTTTTTGTTAAAAAAATAAATAAAATTAAACATTTAAAAACCTGTTTAAATGGTAAGATCATTCAACCTAGTATTAAGTGTACTTCCCTTCCAGGTATCTATATACAATACAGGTGTATATACCCTAAAGCATGTTCTTCACTGCTTCATAGTTTTTTTTGGTTCTTGTGAAGTCTTGCCATGTAGCTATTAGACTGCAGATGTGAAGAATTTTTGGGACTGCTAAGACAAGTACTTAGAGAATCCTCTTCCTCAAGGAACCAAAGTTATTTCTTTCAACCCAGTAGTTTTAAACCGGTTGTCTGCTTGTAATAGCCGTGCCTTCGTTGAGTTTGTTCTAGGAATGCAGTTACTACATTTAAGATGGGACATTTTGAAAACTAAACTTGGCTTTGACTCTCCAACCAGACCATGTCCACTGATTCATGTCTGCTTGTGTATGCTATGGGTTTTGTATTATGTGACTGCGATCTACAAAGGAATATGATGGTCAACATAAGGTTATTGTTTACCACTGGGGTGTGAATAAAACCTAGTATTTTCAGAGGTCTGTCTTTGTTTTGTGTTTTTATTGGTTTATGTAACTTTTCAATTGTTTTACACAGGCATTTACTGTGTGAAATATCTGGGGAGAAATCTCAAGTGAAGGAGCCTATTTTATGTGGGCTCACAAATAGTAACATCATTCTAAATTTAAGACCAGGAAAAAATTTGGTTTGGCATTTTTCTTTGTCTAAACTTTTTTTTTTTTTTTGTCTAATTTTGAAGTATCAACACTTTATCAACTTTTTGCATGACTTTAAAAAGGCCCCAGTATTAAATGCTGATTAGACTTTTGGAAAGTTTATTGTAAATTTTGTAAAACCTGTAGATCAAATCTGATTTCTGTAATATTTCAGCTGATCCTTGGTAAACTGTAGCATTTGAGTATTCTGAATCTGTGACTAGAGGTTTGAGCAAAGGTCTATTTAATATTGACTAGCTAGGCCATTAAAATGAGTGACTTTCAATACTGCTTGATATCTCACAAAGTGGAGGTGACTGACCATTTAGAATGTCTACTTCCAAATATTTATCCTATGCAACATGCAATAATACAATCCTGACGTGCACAAAAGGAAGCATTTGTGTTGCTTCTGTTTTAACTGCCCTGTAGCCATTTGCTGAAGTCATGTCTCACCTGAAACATGCATGATCTTAATCTGATTTTGAGGGGACATGTACTTTGCACCCTCTTAAGTGGTCCAGCTTTCTGGGCTCTTTATACAGGAGTGATCTTGGAGACCTATAAAAGCAATGTCCCCTCTTCACACTCAAGACTTTAGAATTACTTACCCTGTCAGGGACAGTCATGTGAATTTAAAGTCTCACTATTCCAGCAAGGACTAAGATTCCCATAGGAGGAAGACTCTAGTATTTTGTCACAAATTGAATATCGGTGACATTCTGGGTTATGTGCATTGAGGGAGCTAGGCTATATTGAACATCCAGATTCTGCTTAGCAGATAAGACCAGGATATCTTTCAAAACGAAGGAAAGATGCAATGGGCACTGAAACTGTCTTGATGAGCAGAACCTTTAGTCTGATTTCTTGTAAACCAATCAAGGGGCTCTCTTTAGATCTAAAGAGTCCACAAACTAGTGGAGAAAACTCCAATTTAGAATTTCTATAAAGTCTGCATCACAAGTCATCCAAAAACATGGTCTTATGGTTGGGGATCAACCGATTATAGGTTTTACCGATATTGGCAGATATTTGTTTCGGTCAATAGAGATACCAGGATTGCCGGGCTCATTACAAGCCCAGCAGTCCTGGGGGACCTGCAGGAAGCTATTACTTACCTCCCAGTAGCTCCCTTCAGCTCCCATGTCATATCGCGAGTCCTGCGGCTGTCAGTGTTGCCACAGCACGCAGACCGTGATATTTACAGATTTACACAGGAGAGCTACTGGGAGATAAGTAACAGCATCTGTGGCCCCCCCTAATGTTCAGTACATGCCACTGGACCACCAGGGAATACCATAGCCCCCCTCCCTGGCCAGGTAAGCAGGGAGGCGGGACAAAAAAATAAAACCTTAAAATCTATACAAATTACATCCCTTCACAAACACTGCATTCATTATATACACTGTTTTTTATATATACATACACGCTACACAAACACACAGCTCCCCTGTCTAAACACACTGTATCCCACTACATGTGGCATGTATATTTTGTGCATTTACCTTTTGAAATAGTTTAATTTTTCAAAATTGTTAAATGTACAGTTTATCTGTCTGAAAGTTCAGATTATCGGCTCTATAAAAAAAAAAAATCTGTCCCCTACTTATGGCTACTTTAGTTTTTGTTTTCCATGATGCCTATATCCACATACCAATAGATTACATCAGTAGTTTAAAGTTGTCATAGTCTGTATGTGCAGTGCTTTGCTTCAAATCCTGCACATCCAGATTAACCCTGCTGCTGCTGGTGTAACTCCACCTATGGCAGCGTCCTTCTATGCAGACTGTCTATTCTGTGCAAAATTAGGACCTGATGCTGACAGCCAATGCAACACTAATTCCAAACTTCTCAATCCACTCCCTCCCCCTCCAAGCAAAAAGGAGGGACATCAGGCAAGGATTGTACTGTGGTATAACTTGGCTTATATAAGCACAAGAGGTTACTATTCAAACGTGTGTTTTTTTTTTTTTTTGTTTTTTTTTTATATGTATTCTTTTTCACAAGTGGGTGTTTGACTCTTGAAAAAGTCCCAGCTTCTTCTTTCAAGAGATCATTCCTGGGTTAAACAGTTTAATAGCAACGAAGGTTTAAGCTAGCTCCGTAAAGAATTTTAGTTTGAATTTATCCAGCTACAGTCACAATGTTTTAACTGTGGATTATGTTCCCTCCATATACAAGGCTAGGCCTTCCATTACTCTCATTGTACCACGGTTACTGTGAACTGGATTTAGTCACAGATTCTTGGAGGGACATACATGCCAGCCTCTTACCCTGTGACTATGGTCCCTGTGTCAAACCTCTATCTGAAAACACTATTTGTGCCTGTTAGGACTGGTAACCGGAACCATTTGAACTTTCGAAGTTACACTCCAAATTCTCGAAGCCATTTGACCATGTGGCGGTGGCCATCTTAAGCCGTGAGTATTTGGAAGTGTTTGGTCGTCGAGTTCATGGAGCTCAAATCGGACACTCAACGGCACTAAAACACAGCTAAAACCTTACCTTCCATGGATGTTCAGCAAAATGACACTAACGAGACCTATAATGACCTTATCCACGAATGGCTATGTTAGGTATTTTGAACTGTACTTCGAATCCTTGAAGTAGACCAGCTGCACAGCCTGATGTTCTGGAACGGTTTTGGGCATGGAACCACAAATATGTGCTCTTTGCTTCCGCCCCTCTTTCCAGTATGTAAAGGGTTAAGAAGAAACAAAACAACCTTCACTCACCCGATTCCAAAGCTGATATCCCTCTGTGCTGGGTCGGTGCTCCACCTCCAATGTCTTCCGGTGGATGAACCTAACGCGAGGTCATTAGGTGCTCTCCATTGAAAAGCATTGCCTCAGTGTTTTTCTATCGGGTTTTCACTGATGCTGGCTGTCGTCATGCAGAGCCTGATGACGTCCAGCGCACAAGAAGCACCTCGGCACTTTTAGTGCTGCAAAGTAATCATTGCACTTTCTCAAAAACGGCAATGATTTACATTACAGGTATAAGTGGGAAAGGGACACTGCACTCAATGAGATGAAGTGGTCTGGGTGCCTATAGTTTACTGGCAGCTGCTTAGGGCATTGATTGTCAGGCAGCTAAAATTTGGCTAGCCAGTTATAAGATAAAGATGTGTGGATTTCTACATCTTGATTGCAAGCTCATTTGAGCTTGGCTGCCTTTACCTATTGTCAGTCAAAGTTTTGTATGTCAATAATTCATTTGGTGTCCCCATTTTGTAACTGTAAAGTGCTGCAGAATAAATTAGCACTATATAAATGAAATTTTATTTCCCCCCTAGATTAGAGGCACGGCAACATGAGGATATTCCTGTCTTTTGCAGCAAAATTAGCAGGCAGAATTTAAAAAAAAAAACAAAAACAAACGTAATATCAAGCCCTCCTTTTCCTCTACGTCTTTGCCGTAAAAGGGTCTCCAAATGAACCAATTGTCTGCCTGCCTTTGGCATGGTAGGTACGACTCACTTTTTTTAATTTTCCAGGCGTGGTGAGGTGGCTGTGGCCAGGGAAATTTTCCGCTGGGTCAGCGAGCAGCTGTGAATGTGGGCCTGGCTCTTTCCTCTTTGAGTTCTGTAACGGAAGTAGGGTGCCTGTGTTCAAGCTTTTATAGCTTGCGCCCAGTTTGGGCTGGGTGCTGGAAGTGGTGTATGCGTGTAAGCGCACAGCTGTGGGACTCTTCAGGTAGAACCCACGTACTGGTTGCAATGCATTCCATGGAGAAAGCATGTGCATGCGCAATGCGATTTCAGCACTTTGGCGCCAATTTCAAACAGGAAGGCCTTGGAGACTTTATATACCCAGCCACAACTACCTGACAGCCATGTGTTATTCCAATCTGTTGTAGGTGTGCTCTCACCTTCCCCCAGCACACAGTGAGACCTGGCAAGGTAAGACTTTTTGATTTAGGCCTCTTGTCGTCTCTTTAGTTTAGTTAGGTATTTTTCTTTCTTTTTTTTAATTTTCTAGTATGTCTAATCCTGAAACATGTAGAGAAAGGAAAATGTCTGTCCAAGTCCAGACACTGTATCTGTCTATCAGTCAGTCATACATTTTTGTTAAATACTGCGGATACGTAAGCGTATTCCTGGAAAGTGACACCTCTTCATTAAATTATACCAATCTTGTGTGAAAAATAATGATTCAGTATTCTGGAATGATCTGGGGAACATGTACTTTAAGTGATGCAACCAGTGCAAAATTTAGGAAGAAGCTACAAATAAATGCTTGTAGCTTAATGGAACACTAACAAATAATCACTACAGTAACAATACATGGTGATTGAAGTCTTCCTTTAGCCATGGTAACCTGTGTTCAAATATAAAATACCAGAACCTAACAAGATCACTATTTAGAGGAAACCAGGCCACACTGCAGACCCATTTTGCACTACCAGAGATTGTGGCTCATTGATTAAGTAATTGCAATTTTGGGCTTACCTAACAAATCTAGAAAAGAGAAAAGCTTATATTTTTTTACAGTTTTGATATTTTGGTGCAAGTTCCTCTTTTCCCCCATTGCATATTTTCTGCTAAGGTTAAACACTGATGTCCTGTCTCTAAAGCCATTTGAAAGTTTACACTGCTACCTCCGCTTGTCTTTTTTTTTTTTTTTTTACATGGGTATACATTTCTCCCACATTGTGTCCCACAATCTTATCACCACTGGTTGCACAGAATTCTATAAATAATGCATTGTGTATTTCTATTTTGTTCACATTCTAATGGCAAAGGTGGGGTTGTTGGTAGAATGCATACAATTAACATACACAGTGCCCAAAGGGAATATTTGTAATGTTTCTGAAATTAATTTCTTCGTTATATAATTTCATCAAAAGGCAGTTTACTCAGATGACTTACAAGATCAAGTCATACAAGAAATACAAGGTGGAATAAATTAATTTATTTTAAGGCCAGAGGCCTGGATTTGTGCGAGGAGTTTGCCCTATAAAAACCCTATCCCCCCTCTTACCAAGGCCAATTTCTATAAGTTAATGGCAGCTTTATGATATATTGACTGGCATAAACTCTTTAGTGAAAAGAATACAGGATAAATGGAACATTTTCCAACAAATATTAGAAAGGTACATTTCTCAGTGTGTACCATTGGGTAATACATATGAAAGAAAGAATTTGAAACCAATGTGGCTTAATGGGAAAGTGAATAGAGAAATTCAAAATAAGAGAAGGGCATTCAAAGCCATTAAATCTGACAAATCAGAGGCATCTTATAAAAGATATAAGGAAGCATATAATGCGTGCAAAAAGGCGATTAGATTCGCTAAACTTCAAAAATAAAAAAATGATAGCCAAAGAGAGCAAAACCAATCAAAAAGCATTTTTAAGTACAAAAATTCTAAAAACTGGGATGGGGGATGTTAGTTAATGAAGACCAGCAAAGGACAGGAATTTTAAATAACTATTTCTCTTCCGTATATATTAAAGAAGAACCCATGGCAATAGATGTGCACATGATTGCTGTTAAAAACTTGCATAAAAATTGTAATTGGCTAACTAGACAAGGTGCTGCAGCAACTAAAGAAAGTTAATATAAACAAAGCTCCAGGGCCTGACGTTATTCATCCACGTGTACTTAAGGAACTAAGTGTAGAAACAAGTGAACCTTTGTTTTTAATCTTTCAAGATTCTTTTCTTTCAGAAAGTGTTCC